ATAAATGAATGACATAAAATAATTACTTTTAATGATCAGAGGTCACTGTGGCACTCTAGTGTATTTATAATGCAAGGTTTGCAAAACTAAACTTTAGTCAAACAAGACACATTCAAAATAATCAAAAACGCACCTTCAACGAAGTTATTTAGAGCACAATAGCACAACAGAAATTGTCAGTATTTTGGCTAGACGGTCACAAAAATTACCAGAAGCTTCGGAAAATCGAAGTGGTAAATCACATTAACTGACGTTTATCACCAAGGTAGAATGAAAGTAGTGTCGTGCTTTAACAGGTATTTCAGTTATATTCGGGTTTTGGATTAAAAGTTATCTCTTATTGAGTTTTCTATTCTTTTAGAGTATAACGCCTTGCTTACGAATAACTTCTGTAATACATGTCATTACTACATGTATAAACCTACAGAGTGTAGAGATCCAACTAAATGTGGTGCATACAAGCATTTTTTCCCTGTTTACTCGTAAATTGTTTTATTCATATCACAGTGTGTAATGTCTCTTTAAGCACCATCTATTATTAGGAGGAAATTTCAGAAGCACGTGAAACGTAACTAGTGGAGAGCATATTACTTAGTTTTTGGTGTTCGGAGAAATCTCATTTAAAATGTTTAAAACAAAATGAAAATATTAGTTGTTGACTTAAGAAATGAAAAAAACTACTGGGTCAAAATAAATTTTTCAAATTTTAGGCAATTTCAGATGTCCCATTTCCCCTGCTTGAATTCAATGAATAGTAATTGGTTTCATGACATCAAGTGTTTAAAATTACACCTGTGAATATTTTTGCTAAAATTGTGGGTTATAACATTCAGACAATATGAATCAGTGTGCAACTAAACGTAACTTAAGGGATTGTTAAGGTATTTAAGTTAGAAATGGAAAGTTTCGAAGTAAGAAACTACTATGAATGGCTAGAAGTGCTAACCTAGTGATAATTTTACTTATCTGTGTATATCTGAAGAGAATTTAATCGAAGTTCGAAACATCATTTTGAGTTGATATGACGCAAATAGTTTAGAGAAATAAATGTTCCCTACTTCTTGTAAATCAATGGGTACTAGTAAAAATAGCCTGAGGAAAAGTATCTTAAACAGTCAAAAAAGCAATAACTTGAAGGAAAAACAAATAATACAGTTGCTTACAGGATATATTTGCCCTTCCTGCTAACATATATATATATATATATATATATATCTGTAGAGTTTTGTGAAATGGTTACTTCTGTCTGGGTTCAAGTGTTTAAATGTTCCACTTCTTTTGAATATACCTGAAGATCTTGATTTTCTAAATCAATATATTTTTCTTATGCTTTATATTTTTATTTCATTAAACTCCATATTTGTTTATGCTTACAAAAGTTGCCTAATCTTTAAATTACTGTCAATGTTTCATAATTTTTGAACAGATATGAGAAAAATACACATGCAGTGGTAATGACGAACACTTTTCTACCATAAAGTATCGAAAATTTACATTGCAGACACTGATTTCATAAAATCAAAAATAACTTATTGAATGTAGAAAAAACCAAACAGGAATAGGATAAAAGATTTCCAAATAATGTCCTGTAGTCATTCATGAAACGGTGAATCAGTCAAGCTTTTGAAATGTTTAAGTGAAGCTGTTGAAATAACACTTTTTATCACGCTCATAAGAAGATCACTGATCATGTTGCTTCAAAGTGTTTTCGATTAGGTGTGTTGTCAAGTAAAAAAACGGGCTGAAGCCAGAGCGTGGGAAATAATAAACAGTCATCCATGATGAAATACCATTGAACCAACACAGGCCTATGCGTCCTACTGTGGAAATATCATAAAATCTGTATTACTGCAGATAAGAATTTACTATAAATTTTAAAAAAGTAAACAAAACTGTTTACCGAGTTAGTGTGGAAGTTGGGAACAGAGCGGTGGCAAGTTACATTTAACTGAAGTCTTGTAATGCAAAATAAATGCAGGGAATCATGATATGGTTAAATAAGTAAATTTCCATTTTGAAAGTGATGTTATGTAATACTTTCTGCATGTATGTAAAAAGGAAAGTGAATAGCTTTCACTTTTATGTATCTGATCTACAGAATTACATGGTTCTATATACTAAAAGGCAGGAGTTGCATGGATTGTAGTTTAGTAATGATCTGAATGAAATTTACTTTTTATTATTTTGTAAGTTTAATATTGACAGCATATATTAAAGACCGATGCAAATAAACGAATGAATTTCCGTGACGTGGAGGTGGTTTATAACAGTCAATATCACTTGTAATGGTAACATGTAAAAATATAATTGATTTTATAGACTGACATCTTGAAAGTCAACTTGGTATAGAATTCCTATTATGTTTTTGATTATATGACATTGATTATGACCATGAACGTCACTTTATGACTAAAGTTTGTCTATGGACATCTTTCAGTCCATGAATGAATTATGTGATAATTATCAATGCCGGTATCCGCCATGTTGCCACGTAAGCTTTATGTGACCAGACTGACATCAGTGTTCATTATTTCGCTCCAATAGTGTAGAGAATGAGTAATTTCGAGAGTAAATTAATTACCTTCTCATTTATTCATTTGAACAAAATAATGACCACTAATGTAAATCACACCAGGCAACATGTCGGATACCGGTTGTCCTCAATAACATAATAGTTTCTTGAAAATTAGTAAGACCACTCTGTTGTTACCTTGGTAAGAAAATGGTTATTTTGTCCAAGCTACAGTGGTAGGGTACATTAATAACACCTAGGTCAAAAATCGACATCAAAAACACTGAAATTTAATTAAAATGTTACACAAAATAATGACCACTAATGTCAATCACGCCACATGAAGCTTTCGTGGCAATATGGGGAATACTGGATTGATTATTGAGATAATTTATTCTGAGGAGTATGTTCTCCAACAGATTTTGGAAATATAACTAAACATTAGTGGAGTATCTATTAGGGACAGCTGAAATACATTTCAGCGAAATCACCTAAATAAAAAGGCTGTCATCTTCAAATTGAATGTCCAACCTCCAGTTTTGATAAAGCTATGGTATAAGTGTAGATATGTGAATGAGTATAAATGCAAAACTTTTATTTACATATATATATATATATATATATATATATATATATATATATATATATATATTAAATTTTAACTGGCACTTGTTATTTGATGATATACGATATGGCATGTGTCACTTTGAGGAGACTTATTCTTTTACATAACTCTGAACCTAGATAACTGCGATCGATAGTAACAAATGACATGAAGGAGTAGCACAAATATTTTTACAAGTTACTTATTACTATCTAAATATCGTAGTTTCTACTTGCACAATAATTGAATTTGGGGGTTTGCGGGGATTAAGAGATTTTTCCAGTTGGTTTTCATGATGAACTGACATCATTTGGAGGAACATTGGAAACTTGAAAGCACTGGACAGCTGTTTCATCCTAGTATGGAGCTCTTCAGCAGTGCGCACCCACGACCTCGCCAGAGATCAAAAACGCAACATTCAGGCTCCGTTGCTGATACGTTACCATAGAGCCACTGCGTCGGAATCCAGTGGTCCATATTTCCAACTTATGTCAGTTCACGACATAGTGCGACCACCACCCAATGTCATCACCGAATATTTGTCCTCATAGCTATATGATAATTCACGTTTAGAATCTCAGACTACCAACCAGCTAATGGTTATCTGATGCAGATACTTTGTTTACTTATCTGTAAATTTGGAACCAAGTGAAATATGTACAAGCAAGAATTAAGCTTTCCAAAGCTAAATATTTAGATGAACTAAGAATCTGACTAGACTTTAGTCCCAGGGGATTCAGTTTCACTGAACTTTCGATACTTAAAATAATAGAATAATGTACTGAAAAAGGGGTGGAGAGAATAAAAGAATGGCTGGAGGCCGATCAGCATGTTCCGTGTAGTACTTAGTTTTTTTCAACGCTGTATAATTTATTTCGATGAAGCGAAATTCATATCCAGAAAAGGGGTGTTCAGGAGGTAACTACTGATACTGTGACAGTAGGAAGAGGAATGGAAACTCATGACTTCAGTATTATATAATTAGTCAGAACCAAAACATTAATCATTTCCTTTTGTTGAATGCTTCTATCTATAACAGTCAGACATTACAAGAATAATTTTCATACGAATATGTAAATATATGGTGGAGATTTAACATAAGTTGTAATGAAACTGATGTGTCAGTCGTGATCAGATTTACACTTCCAATTCAGCAACCTTCAGACATTCCATTTATATTACTAAGCAGGACAACTGGAACAACTGACTTTGCTCAGGTTAACTCCTCCTCATATTAAATAGAAACTCGCTTAGCAACTGCGTGCACTTTTTTGCAGTAGGCAATGAGTCACACCTGTTGTAAGAGGGTTGGTGATACTACCACATCACAGAGACCTCAGTAGAAAAGTTCGATCCCATAACCCACTGACTGAAAACACCTGTCTAAACCAATTAGCCACAGCTTCACACTTCCACACAACACGAAGGAAGAGATTTATGGTATACAAATATATCTGACTGGGTTTTGTTTTGATGTGTTCATAAGAAAATCATCTGGATCTCATGAGTAAAGTATTTTTCACTGACAGCTACTTTGACTGTGGTTCTCATCCATCTTCTAAACATAATCAGTAGTGATTTTGAAAAGCCATAGAAAATATGTTGAACAAACATAGAAACTTTGCAACCAGAACATTTTAAAATGAAAGTTTAATGGGATCAAAATTTGTCATCTTTAGAACTGCACATGGTAATTTAAAATGTTTCGCATAAATCTAGTACTAAATAAAATTGTAGAAATGTCAATACTTTATATGATATGTTGAATTAATTTAGTATCAGTTTACCTTGGAACACATAATTTATTTTAAACTTCACATTTTTATTGAATTTCGATATCCATAAAGGTTTTTATCATTTTCTTAGTAGCCACGTGAACTTGAAATGAATTCAATGGAAAATGATATTTCAAAGGTAAAAAGTTTTCAGGAGAGCCTTAAAGAAAGTTTAGAAGGTATCTTGATTTAAATAACAAAAGCTTTTGAAAACAAATTTTTCAGAACAAGAAAAATTGAAAAGTAATCTGTTGTTGGCAAAAGCTGAAAGTAGCCGATTGAAAAGTCGAATTGAATCAGGTAAACCGAAAAGTAAACAATCTTGTAAGGCTTTATTTTACAGTGACTAACGAACTGCAAAAGTAAATGAAGAAATAGAGGAAATGCAAAGTTAGTTGAACATTCAAATTTTCGAATTCATTATTCATTAGTCAAGAAAAAAGTACTGATTAAAAAGTTGATCAGTGGACAACAAAGGCGAAGCAAGTATGAAATACATTCTGATAATCTTCATTTATTGGATATTAAAAAGATTCAACTTGACACCGATATATTTTTAATGTTTGCAGAGATTTATGCTTGTGTCATATATATATATATATAATTTTAAAGTAGGAGTTTCTGGTAGTTGACCTCGATGAGACAAAATCGTGGATTTTTAACACGGTGATGAAAAGTATTACATCATGAGATACAACTGGGAGAAACAGTTCAATGTTTATTCGAAGCAAAGTGAGAAGTGTTTGAAATTAAGTGAGCATAAATGGCTTTCAAACATATAATTACCTCTTTACAGTGAATTTTCGCTCCTGCTTTAGCTATATGACACTAGTATGCAGTTAATTTGACTGAATTGGTCTTGCATTACATGTAAGACATGGTACGTTTATTAGATCTCCAGGATAATGGCTTAATCTTATTCTATTTCGAGCCCTTCAGACTACACATAAGTATCACCACCAGATGATAGTCTGAATATACAAATACGTTTATTGGTTTTGAAATTAACATAACAGAGAATTGTTCAACTTATGTTTTAGCGAATAATGACAGCAAGTTGGTGCAGAGGATCAGTTGGTTTGAAAAAGAAGGGTCCTTACTGTTCTTTAAATTACCGCAAATACCCATTACGACATTGGAGAGAACGAGAAGTTCAGCGAAGATATCTTGAAAAGAAGAACTTCAAACTCACTTAAGGACACTTTTCGTGTCCACTTTGAGGATAGTATTCTTCAGTGGTCTGATGCTTCCTGATAATCAAAAGGATAAGCTTCTGCATCTGACCACTTCCGTGTGTGTTTATCAATTCATCTTTTTCTTTGGAGCTAGATATGTAGATCTTCTATTCGCATTCTTTCCAAACAGGTTGAAGAACATTAACTCGCCTGGCTGCAAAGAGATGTGAGTGGATCCATCAGAAGTGTAATAACTAAACACCTTGTCAACAGTGGTGACAGCATCATAAATGATTCAGTGATTATAGTCATCTGCAGAGTGAAAATAAATTCGCCTAAAGTGGTGCGCTTCTGTTTCTCCAAAGGCTCTTGCCGTGTGTATAGAGAAACCAGAATTAAGTGTATAAAAGACGCTTGTTCAACCTTTGCTTTTACCGTGGACTTTGTAGGGATGAGTGTTACAATTCCGTAACGATTGACCAACCCTACTTAATTTGATGTGCTCTAGTACCTGCTTAACCAGTACTTTACCTAACGTGTAAGTACTGGTAACAAAACACAAATCAAAAGAACTGATACGCAATGTATTTAAAGGAGCTATGTATTTAAGGTAAATGTTATAATAATGAATGAGGGAAAAGTTTAATCAACTTATCTGGCTTGTAAGGCTGAACTAGGGACTCGGAGTACGTGCGTGGTGATCAGCACAATGGAGCGCAAAAATGGCGTCCAAGCCTGCTCGGATGCATGCTCGTTAAAACAAAACTTAAAACACCCTAAGCATCCGGAGGCAAGCTAGAGATTTATTTAGTTAATTTAATTTAAACTATTTATTTTAGCCCTAGTTATATTTTGGTGCCAGGAAGGTGCACTACAGGTTATCCCCCTCCTAGAAGGTTGTTGGGATACCGGCAACCTTCGATCCTAGGAGGCGACTGCGAGGCGGACACGCAACACCTTTCCATATTGGTGATGGAGTAGGTGACGTGTGGGTCTCCGAAGCTAGTGCAACTATGCACACCTACGAGGTAAGATAACTTTGCGTCTAGACGCAACCCTTCTCGCAGTGGTGGAAGGTGACCCAAAGCCTCCGTCTACTTTTCCCTATTGCTTCTTAATCTACCGGGGAGTGTACAGGGGGAAATTGGTACAAAGAGAACCGAAGAACGATCCAAGTAGCATCGTCAGCGGCCAATTGTATCCAATTTTCAACGCATTTTCTAGGTTCTGCAAGAAGAAAGAAATGGGACATTAGAGTGCTAAGAAAAGGAAAACCAAACAATTCGAAGTGGGAGGAGTACAGAAAAAAAAATAATAACCAACCAAAAAAAGTTTTCGGAATTTAAATTGTATTTTTGATTTTTCTTTTTTTTTTTGAAAAAAAAACTGTTTGCAAAGTAGTAAACATGACTTTTGAAAACTTTAGGTATGAAAACGCATTGAAAGTGTATGCCACGACAAAGTAGTTGAAACTCCGAATTCACCAAGTGTGAAGTTGCTCTGGGGCTAATTAACGAACTCGGCGTATCGCTTGGGCCAATGTACACGCCTCCCAGCACGTGTAGAGGTTACTGGATCAGTGTTACTAGACGTGGCTCTTTTAGAAGGTTCAGGATACGCGCGACTAAACGAGTCTGTTAGGGAGTCCGGCGGCAAGGGTCTGGGTGTGCCTGTGGAGGTGTCGCACAATATTGACACTTCACTGTTCAGGAGCGGTAACGCTGTATCTTCAGAGAGGATGAGTGTTGAAGTTTTTCCATCTCCTCGTCTGAATCCTGAAGTTCGGCAATCTTCCGTAAGTCGACTGCTCGAGGCAAAGTAGTGGTGCAAACGCGAGACAGTGCGTCCGCGACAGGGTTATTCACACCAGAAATATGACGGATGTCCGACGTGAATTGCGAAATATAATCTAGGTGACGTAATTCACGCGGTGAATATCTGTCAGTAGTGGTGTGTAAGGCATACGTCAGAGGTTTATGGTCGGTAAAGATGATGAAGTCACGACCTTCCACAAAATGACGAAAATGTTTCACTGAGGCATATATGGCGAGCAGTTCCCTGCCGAAAGTGCTGTACCGCATTTCGCAGGTGGATAACTTCCGGAGAAGAATGCAACTGGGATCCAAGTGTGATCCGAAAGTTGTTGCAACACAGCTCCAATGGCCGTGTTAGAGGCGTCAACCGCAATGCTGAGAGGTAGGTTTACGTCTTGATGCACCAGCATCGTGGCGTCTGCTATTGCGGTTTTGATCTTGCGAAATGCTTCTAGTGCCTCCGGAGTCAAGCTGAAAGTTTTACATTTACTTTTCAGCAGGTCGGTCAGTGCAGTCAAAATGTGTGCACATTGGGGAATGAAGCGACGATAATAGCTCACCATACCCAAAAACACACGCAGAGCTTTAAGTGACGCTGGGACTGGGAAGTCTTGGATCGCCTGTACCTTTTCAGGTAGTGGGCGAATGCCTTGCTCGTCGATAACGTGTCCCAAAAATTTTAGTGAACGAACGCCAATCTGGCATTTGGCCAGGTTGACTGTCATCGAATGCTCTGACAGTCTGGCGAAAACCTGTTTCAAGTGGTTAATATGAGTGTCTTCGTCTGGACTAGCGATTAGTATATCGTCTAGGTAGGCATAGGCGAAATCGAGTCCACGTAAAACATCGTGAATAAAACGTTGGAAGGTTTGTGCTGCATTGCGAAGACCAAAAGGCATACGGAGGAACTCAAAAAGACCAAACGGTGTAATGACGGCTGTCTTGGGAACATCATCAGGATGAACCGGGATCTGATGATATGCACGCGTCAAGTCAAGCTTACTGAAGATAACCGAGCCTTTTAAAGATGCAGTCAAGTCGTGAATGTGAGGGACTGGATAACGATCTGGAATCGTTTTAGCGTTGAGCCTTCGGTAGTCACCACAAGGCCTCCAGTCCATGCCATTGTTCTTGGGTACCACATGCAAGGGTGAAGACCATGGACTGTTGGATGGTCTGATTATTCCCATTTCAAGCATGTGTTCGAACTCGGCTTTTACAGCACGCAGTTTCTCCGGGGATAATCGCCGTGGTTTCGCAAACACTGGCGGGCCAGTCGTCGTTATGTGATGAGAAACGTTCGAAGTCACACAAGGGACACAACGACTTGGCTTAAAGACATCCGGAAAGGACTGAATGATAGACGCGTAGGGACTAGAAGCGTCCGTCGTGCAGTACACGGGACTGAGGGGCGGCGTCTTTGTGACTATACCGGAAACAGAGAGTGTTGTGGTAGAATCTATCAACTTATGCTTGCCAGCATCTACCAGCAGCTGATAGTGCTGCAAGAGATCCATACCAATAATGCCGGTGGTCACATCTGCCACTATGAAAACCCAACGAAAGGGACGACGCAATCCAAGGTTGAGATCGAGGAATCTCCGACCATAGGTTGTGATGGGCGAACCGTTGGCGGCACGAAGTTGCAGAGACATTGGCCGCAGACGCTCTTCCTTCGTAGGTGGGATGACGCTAGCTTCTGCCCCAGTGTCAACTAGGAAGCGTATCCCAGAATGTCGATCAGTGACGAAGAAGAGGCGACATGGAAGTGGCTCGCCAGCGACGTTAGTCGCCGTCACGTGCTGGCTCACACGTTTCCCGCCTGGTTAGCCTCGAAGGTGCAAGGTCGAGTGCACTTTTTGGCATTGGCACCATAACGTTTATGGTACCAGCACAACCTGGGTTGGGATTGTCGCGATTTGGAACGTCTGCTACCGGTACGGGAGGCAGACCTGTTGCGCGAGCGAGACGTGCGACCGCTGTAAGCACTACCAGACCGCATTTCGTTCCTGATGCTGCACAACTCCTCATACAATTTTGAGATGTGAGTTATAACATCGAAACTTGTTGGCTCAACAGCCGAGGGAGGGTTTTTGAACGAATCCGTGGCAGTAGACAGTGCAGCTGAGATACTAGTGTTGGGTTTCGTAGCATCCACAGCTCTGTCAGCCGCTTCCGCCAACTCTATTAAGGGGCACTTATGGAAGGGTGCGAGGATCCCTTGAACCGACTGTGGTAACCTCTGTAACCACAGTTGCTTGAGAAATGCTTCATCAATGTTGAAGTCAGCAATCAGCTGCTTCATCTGACGAAGCAGTTGCGTCGGCTTGCGATCACCCAGATGCACATCCCTGAAAAGTTCTTGCACTTTCTGCTGGTCAGTAAGTGCAACACGTTTGATGAGGGCGGTTTTGAGGCGATCGTAAAGATTCGGTGCTGGGTCATCTAGCACATCTGAGACGTCTTCAATCACATTTTCCGGTAAGCTGACGATGACTAAGTTGGACTTAGTTTCTTGTGATTGAATGTGTCTCAAGGCAAATTGAGCTTCCACATGGGAGAACCATGCAGATGGTCTGTGGGCCCAGAAGGTGGGAAGCTGGAGGGTTATGGCCATCTGCGCAGTCGAGTCGTTATCCGCCATCGATCAGGGAATCAACGAGGCACGATAGTGATAATAAAAAAATTACAATGCAAAAATAACCAATGAGGAGTGCAATAATATAAAAAAAAACGCTAGACGTCCCAAAAACAAAATTAGGCCAGACAAATCAACGCAAGAGAACAAAGGTACTAGACAAAGTAAGAAGTGATACTCGGGCTCACCAATTTTTGTAGGGATGAGTGTTACAATTCCGTAACGTTTGATCAACCCTACTTAATTTGATGTGCTCTAGTACCTGCTTAACCAGTACTTTACCTAACGTGTAAGTACTGGTAACAAAACACAAATCAAAAGAACTGATACGCAATGTATTTAAAGGAGCTATGTATTTAAGGTAAATGTTATAATAATGAATGAGGGAAAAGTTTAATCAACTTATCTGGCTTGTAAGGCTGAACTAGGGACTCGGAGTACGTGCGTGGTGATCAGCACAATGGAGCGCAAAAATGGCGTCCAAGCCTGCTCGGATGCATGCTCGTTAAAACAAAACTTAAAACACCCTAAGCATCCGGAGGCAAGCTAGAGATTTATTTAGTTAATTTAATTTAAACTATTTATTTTAGCCCTAGTTATATTTTGGTGCCAGGAAGGTGCACTACAACTTAGTAAACTGTTAACAGTACACTGTCTCTATCTCTCTTATCACCCACGATTTTGTTGCATTTATACATTTTAATAACTCAAAATCGTATTCGTTTTGCTTCCGTACTACTCTTGATCTCAATTTAAGTTAAAAAATTATTTTTATATATTATAAAACCCCAAATTCTATCCGATTAATTATGAAGTTCCTATGCTCTTTTGTGAATAAATTTTACCTTGTGTCATATAAGTGAATTTTTGACCTCCATTCAGTTTGTTCTTTGTTGCTGGGTTTAATCAGATAATGCTTGCAGTTATCTAATATACTTAAACAAGAAATTATAAATTACTATTGAACAGAAAAAGAGAATTAAATCGCCAAAAAGATATCTTCGCTGACCTTCCCGTTCTCTCTAACTGAAAAAGATGGCCCGTAATCACAAATAAAACTGCGTGTTCGTCACACCACAAATCATTTCGACGCCAATTAGAGAATTATGACCCACGAATATATGATATATATATATATATATATATATATATATATATATATATATGATATATACATATATATATATATATATATATATATATATATATATATATAAAATTTGAATTATTTTTAACTGCCTTTACATGGTATTATTACTTTTCCTCATTAGGGAACAGGAGGAAATACTATCAGTTCGAGCAAATAAAGAAAAGATCAAAAGCCTAATCAAAGCAGAACGTGAAAATTGGTTGGATGAAAGGTAAACAGTTAATAATTTGCATCAAACATTTCTTATCGAAATATGCATTATCTACAAACAGAATTCGTCAGTTAGAAGAATGTATTGAATATTCAGGAAACCACTGGTTTATCCAATATTTTCCCGATGCAAATCATGAATATGAACTAGAAGAAAAGAAGGAGGAGAGTAACGAGTTATTATCAACTGAAAATGAATAACTAATGTATTTCTATGGTTGTTTTTTCATATAAATTTGTGTTTAGACTTATTGTAATTGTAAAATCAAGTATAATTGAGATTTGATATTCACATATTTACTATAAAATCTCACTTCCCTGGTTCATGCACTTATGTATTAGTTCAAATAAACGATATAGTAAAAACAAATTCTACCGCTTTCTATGTGGTGTTTGATATACTTGTTTCTGGATTAATAGGGTAATTTCGGGTTTTTGTCAGAAGAACACTTTTTCTAGTCAGTGATCAAGTCTTAGGCCAAAAGCAAGTGGAAGATCTACATGAAGAAATGTCATTGGTTCCAATTTATTGAAATGACTACAAAAGTACTCCTCAACGACAACTGAACTATAGGTATTCAGTGAAGAGAACAAAATAGGAAATATATTAGTGAGTTTCAGAAGTGACTGATCATAAGTTTTTAAATTTATAAAAGGAAATTGAAGCTAAACTAAGAAGGTGTTTCCGTAAAGCATTTCTGAAAAATCATGAACTTGGTGAAAACTCCACTTTCGATTTTGTCATTTTGATGTTTGCAGATTTGACAGAAATTTTATAAAAAGTGCAAACGTTTTGTTTCAAAAGTATATACAAAATTGGCTTTGGAGGTCATCCTTGGAGAATTATTCCCCCATGCTGCTCTGTGGCACTTGAATAATAATATAAGTGATTTAGTTGAACATATTTTGTAACCGAACAATCAGACTTTTTTGCTAATTTGGCTAAAGAGTTATTTATTCCTAAAAGTTGGTTACCTTCCAGTCACCGATCGGTGAGCTTAATTCAATTCTATGGGAGGTCAGTCACAGCCCTAATAGCTCAATGGTAACTTCTCTGTCTGCGGCACTGGGTGATGAGGGTTTGAATCTCAGGCGGATATAAATTCCGCATAGATTGCAGGTACGTCTTCCTGAGCAGTGTCAAAAAGCATGAAACTTAGTTTAAGCATGGCTTCCTGCAGACTGCCTTCATTCACTAATGTAAAACAGTGTACTTCACAAAAAATTTGCTGATATCCGCATTCTAATGAACAGTGATGTTTTAGAAAAAGCCCGACAAACTGATTTTTTATCGAGTTGCTCCATTTTTAAACCTTTTGCCAGCTTGTAAATGTGGTTTAGTAGATCCCTTAAAAATGAGGATGATAATTTCTAGCTAATATTTAATTGCGGTGAAATCTCAAATGCCTAGCTTACAGAGTGATTTAAAAGTAATCAACTTCTACGACAATTAGCAATTAATGCTGCAACGCTTTTACAGCCAACCCTTCAAACTACTCAAAAATGAATAATTGTTACATATTTTCAACTTAGTAGAAGGCTAATAGGCACCTACGAGTGACCTTAGTTTAGTCACCAGTAGTAACTACGGGTGTTTTGATCACTGAAAGGAAAAATTGCCTTTTGATAACTTCAATAATATAAAACAGGAAGTAGAATGTTGAAATTGTAATAGAAACTAATGGTTCTAATGTGCTTAACTTCGGAAAGTTATGCTTGATAACGTGAAGTGTAGTAAGTAGTGGGAACAAGAGAACAAGATTTGTACGTTATACTGATTCTCATTCATCCATTCATTCGATGTTAAACACTGACATCAGTCACGAAGTGATAGCCTGTGTCATTTGTAATCTTCATTATAGTTCAGTTGCAAAGTTTTGTTTCAAGTCTATGCTAAGCGTTAAAATTCTATTTTAGTTGACTTATTGGACAGCACAAAATGGAAGAGTATTATTTACTGGATTACGTTTCGGATATAATTTGTTGTCTGTTTTCATGTTGAGATCACTCCATAACTTTGAGATATGGTTTATATAGTTCTAATTTTCTCACCACCTTTGTAATATAAGTAGTAGGATTTTTCTTATATGGAAAAAGTACTGAGTTATAGCTGTCGTATGTGTTTGGTTTTGATACGATCAGTCACTCCGTCCATCTACGCTGGGATTTTCTCTCTGTCCCATTCTATTGTGTGGTTGCGTATAATTGGATGCATACCTATGCCCTAGCTTTTTTTCTAAATTTCTCATGTCACTAGGATCTACCAATTTTGATCTAGCTAGGTTTCTGCTCTCGAATAGCCTAGCTGAACCTGATCGACTACGTGGACCTACGTATTTGACCTCTCAGTAGTTGCTAGGATTTTATTAAACTAAATTATTTTGCCGAATTGGATTAATGGGAGCTTTAACCCCCAAAACTTCTAAGTGAGTTTGTAGGTATAAATACCACTTTAATCCCAGCCTTATTGAGAATCCTATGTTATGTCTGTGAGATACTCTCCTTGTATGGTAATACTGTGGAGGCTTTGAGTTCTCTCTTCACACTATTGCTATTATTATTATTACTACTATTATTATCATTGGCATTAACATTACGACTCTAGGGGTTAGTATTAATAATGATAATGTTAATGATAATAGTGGCAATACTATGAAGAGAGGATCTGAACACTCCAACGTATTACCAAAGAAGGAAGGAGTTATCTTGACGTGACTATGAACAGTAAATTCTGCCCGGAAGGTAATCCAGTAAATAATACTGTTACACTGCATGACACATCAAAACTTGAGGGGAAAGCTACCCATCATCAAGATTTTAGGCCTTCTTTGCTTTATTAACAGACTACTGGTAAGACATAAGATACAGCATTAGCATACATATGTATATTTGATATGATATATTACAGTGCCCAAGTTTTAAAACTTATATCGTTAAAACCGAAGGTTTTCATATTTGAAGGTTACTCAGTAAATTCACACGACCTTCAATGACTGAATTCTGGTTCAAAAAGCATCTTGGTTTTGATATAAGCTGCAAAATATTCTTCCTTACAGCAAATACCTGCACCATGAACTCCAACATCACTTGCGAAAGTTGGAAAGGTAATGCAGTATATGTGTAGAGAAAAACTTACAGATAAGCCATTTTAAAGAAATCCAGAACCACTCAAGTTAAAGAGTTCAACGAAATAATGCAAGCAACATATCGCACAAAGGAAATATGATATTATAAATGGAACAATATTAACCATTGACCTAAAACGGTGAGTGACCAATCTCCCATTGAAGGCATTTGACTCAACCAAAACCGAAGCACTCTGGAAAGGAACTAACTTCAGTAACACATTAGGTCAACTGAAATCTGAAGAAATTATAACTGGAATCGAAGTGGTATTCGGCTCGAGATTTAAGAGAATCGACTAGCTGTTTCAACGACAGTGTGTATTAGTAATAAGGAAACTAGAGAAGGTAAGAAGAATTTCGACAGCACCAAAAACACCACCTGTATATTAACTGCTAAATGACGAGGGCATTGAAATCATACAGATTTAATGAAGGTTTTTTAAGAGTGTTTATGGACAAATGAGAATAAATTACGAGCATGTATAGGTAGGTAAACGTGAAAAGATTAAGAAAGCTGTAGACTGTGTCATAAAGAAGACTGATGGATGTACAGCTGATCTTACGTGCCGAATGAAACAATTTTAAGTTGATTCTAAGTAGCTTCATCTAATTTCAGAGACTGATAATCCCTGTTAAATATGTATATGTTCAGATATATTGAAGCACATGAAATAAGTAGGTATCGAGTTTCGATGTGGGAAACCATTTGAATTCCAGGCAAATCGATTGCAGTAAATTGAAACTAGATTAAATGTTCTCCATACGGAAGATAATAAAACAGCAAATCATACTGTGCTATATCAAGTTAACAAATATAATATCCAAACATTAATTATTGCTCTTATACTTCCATGTGGGACTTAGTGAACATTTTGGCATTTGTTACTTTCATTACTTTTATTAATAGAAGAAAATAAGTATGAGTAGAGTACTATCAAAGTAATAAACAGTAAAATTTCTTGTATTTATAAAGACTAAATAACAGCAAGGTGGTAATTTTTATTAAACTAATTATTGGATCTGGTTTCATATTTTCAACTTATTAGGAAGCTAATAGGCACCTACGAGTGACCTTAGTTTAGTCACACTGGTAGTCAATGTAAGCATACTGTTTCAAGATAAGTTAATTGGTTAGAAAACAATTCACTTTTTACCAGTTAAGTACAAGCAATAAAAAACAGTACTTTATGAAGCTTATTCAAATGATCGAAGTACAATGATGGTAGTATAATTATCTTATGAAACTAAACAAACAAATAATGAGCAGCAATGAGATAATAAGGGCAAAATCAACTAATGTACCTAGAGTTTTGATACAGCATGCAAACACAACTCCTGAACAAACATCACTTCGTAGACGTAGCATATATCTTGTCTATCCACCACCAGTAAATTATGATCCAGCTCCACCGCCTAGAATTGATCCTTACTTCAATTCTAAACATTCTAAAACTATGCTAGCTGAAACATCTGATGCAAGCTATTACATTCATGAACGTACAAATCTTATGTTACGGAAAGAATATGATAGATTTCATAATCATTGGTCTTCATATTACTATGGAAATAAACGAGATAAAGAAGATTATCGGTAAGTTAAAGAAATGATATCAAATTAACCAGAAAACATTTTATGTTTTATGAAATTACATAAAAACAAATGTGTTTACCTAAAAAACATTCATGCTGGAAGTCAAATAACTGAACCCTGTATTCTGGTAGAAAAAAATAGTCTATTTATTTTGCTTTCATTGAACAGCCTGCTTTAAATGTGATTATAAGCATTTTGTTAAGAACCTATTTGAGCAGTCATACTTTGCCGCTTACTAGCAATACTTACAACAGTCGTTTACATACTGTATACGGTTGGATAGTCTTATTTTCTTCAGTGACGAAATTAACATATACTGAGTGAAATTCTAAATAACAGTGAGAAGTGAAGAGAAATATTAATTTAATACTGGAAAGAGAATTTTGTAATATTCATTTCTGAAGGATTTCAAGTGGAGTTTAAGCAGTTCAGAGGTTAGAATTGGAGAATTGCCATCGGATAATCCAGAGAAACAAGCAATATTTAAGTCTAAAAAAAATTTCTACGCTCATTTGAATACAGTGAGCTAATTGATGCCTGTTGATGATGCACAATTATCAGATGCTTATTAAAAATTATTTTCAAATATGAGACTCATAGATTTGATCAAGTTTTTTCATTGTGAGAGTAAAATGGGATAAATGTTATTGGTAAATCTGTGCTGATATGATGTTGCTAAAACAAGAATTTCCACGAAAACTAACAATCACTGTAAAGCTATTAGAATTCAAAATAGGTGGTTATTGTAAACTGTTGTTCAGTGGAGGAAAAACTTACTTTTAAAAAGATATGCAACATTAGACTGATTCGAACAACAGTTATTTCACAATCAATAAACTATACAGCAAACAATGGTTTACTGACTATACCTTGTATGGATATCTGATATATCAGAAATCCTTATTTTGATTTCTTCTATTGGCTCATATGTGAACGAAACTTTACGCATCCCCACTGTCTGTCTGACTTTAAAATTTCCACATATCAACTGATTATAAGTCAGAGCTATCAAAGTGTTAGCTGTCTTTCATCAATTATAAGGAACAAATTTTACAAATTTCATTGCACAATCAAATAACTTTTCAACAGCGATTGTTTCAGAAATACTGGCATCAAGAACAGGTTAGGGGGGTCATCTTTAAACTCACCTAAAATAATTCAATAATGAAATAATGACCAGTAGTTTATTGTATAGAAGTGAGGTGTACACACTGATGAGTTAACCAAAGAAGCGGTAGTCTGAAAGATTGTGAACCTAGTATTTTTGCTAGTCATTTCCAGTCCAATACATTGTAATATGAATCTCTAAGGCGAAAGACATCCGCTTACTTGATCACTTATCGTTTACAATTAATATACTGTAACGTTAGAAAAGCAGCTGATTAATCAGTCATTTCGGAATCTTTCAGCTGGAGCTCTTACTAGTTTCTTAGGTTTTTATGTACGTCTTGAAGTAGTAGTTGCAACTCTTTTAAAACAAGTTGTATGGTTAAATCATCATATAAAACTAGAAGTAACACTGGTCAAACTGAAGAAAGCTCGTAAGTCATTATTCTTCATAGGAATTACAGACATTCTAAATGGTCAGTATGCTCAGGAGTAACGAATTACCAAATGGAGGTAACTAAACCTATTAGATTTATCAGTTTTCCCTAAATTGCCTTTTCAAGCAATATACAAAAATGTCTCTAGCATGTTTAAAAACACTATTCTTAGAAAGTAGAGCAGACTTGATAGGTCTGATGTTAAGATAGAAGTTACTTAGGAGTAACCAGATATATTATTTAAAGAAACTTAGCAGAAACCTACTGATTTAGCAAACCATGTATATTTAGCAACCCTATTCAACAGCTATATGCTATATGGAAAGCCCAGTGATGCCTTTCAAGTGAAGACAGGAGTAAGACAAGGTTACTACCTACTACCATCGATCATCTTCCTCATTGTGGTCAACTGGACTGGACTGGATCGTGCATGAAACTGTGAGGGGCGAGAAGATGGGCATACGCTGTTTCACCGACTGAAAGACCCCAGGAGATTTGGATTTCGCCGATGATAACTTATGTCTAATGGTCTTATCAAAGATCTACAGGCAAAAACTAACAAGTTGGCAGAAGGGGCAGAGCATCAAAGTTGAGACTTTTTTTCAGGTGAACATGGAAAAGACAGAGGTGATGAAGATACAGAACCAACAACAACATCAGCAACAAGCAACAATCACCATCAGTGGGAGAAATCTAAAGGAAGTTGTCTCTTTTGCCCATCTACCTACCTAGGCAGCATCGTTTCAACCACAGGCAGCACAGGCACAGATGAAGACATCAAAGCTGGGGTCGGAAAGGCAGCAAGATAGACCTTCCTGCATTAACCTGAAACCAGTGTGGAGATCTACTGCACTACACGGCACTGTACTCAGCATAAAGCCTGTATAAGATCTGGGTTTTCAATACTAATGCCATCTGAGCCAGTGCTTCTATATGATGTTTCAGAGACTTGACGTGTTACGAAAAGAAGTTCCAACAAACTGCACGCATACATCAACAGCTGCCACTTACGTTCACTCTATACTGAAGATCAGATGGCCAGAAAGAATTAGCAACAAAGAACGAACTGACCGTAAACCCATCGCCCAACAAATATGCAGAAGAAAGTGGAAATGGATATGACTGGACATACACTGAGAAGACCGATTGGGGATATCACGCACCAGGTCAGGCCCTCGAAAGGAGCCTGAACGGGAAACGATGAGTTGGGCATCAAAGGGTGACATGGAGGAGATTGTGTTAGGAGATATTGAATGTTTGTGGGCAGTCATGGAGCGAGGTTAAGAAGATTGCAGACAAGAGAACAGAGTGAAACGGTGACGTGCTGCTGAAGCTCTATGTTCCTCTGGGAACCCAAAAGACAATAATAATAATATATTTTTATTCAATCTTATCACCCTTCGTCTTATAAACGAACATAAATTGGTAAATGGTGTGAACTGCAAGTGATAGCAGAGTAGTTTTCAACACAGGGTGTCATCAGTCACAGAATCAAAGAAAACTTGGGAGCACCAGATAGAGGTTTTCCTTCAGTTTTAGACTAAGTATTGTACATTCAAAACTCCATAAGAGATGGAATCCACGTTTGTCGAGTACTGTAATGAGCACCTTACCATTCAGTAACTTCGCTGGAATCCAGCAGTTCATAATTTCCTGATTTTATTAATTCATGATACAACTCTATCATCATCCGACTAGATCAGTGAGCAGTAGTTCTCTTACCTTACTTGGTCAGCCCCACAGATTATGTTGCTTAAGCAGAACTTTGAAAGTCGATTTCAAAACAAGATGTGAATGAGGATACAACAGTAAATAGTTTAATTAATGGTTAGTAAGAACTAATTAACTTCAAAGTACTATTCATCATGGAATTGATATCACCGGGAAGCATCATCTAAAAAACAAATCGTAACAATAAACATGAAATGCTGGTTCACTTCATGAAAATAATGTCTAGAAGTTCTCTCATTTCGAATGAAACAATACAAAAAATGTTTCTTGTGTTTTGTTTAAGTCAGATATTGTTTCTTATCAAACAATTAATAACTTATTACAGTCTTCTGGGTATATCCAGTGCGTAGATGCGAAAAACAGTCAACCAGTATTATTAACTGCATAAGATGAAGTAGTTTCTGCAAGTATAGGCACTGCTGACTTTCCCCACTGCAATACTAAGAGTATTTAGTAGTTAAGATGCAAATATTTAATCCTTTTACATAATTATATTGCTTAATTTATTACTATAGTCAAAGACAAACGTATATGGATACAATTCAGAAATGAGCACATCATACTTATCTACATTAAAATAGAAATACTTTATCAGCATAAGCCTAGATGCTTTATCAAAGCTACGAATTATTCAGTAAAATTAGGAAAACAAAATAAAAACTACAAAAGCTGAATTCTCAATGTTAATCTATAAAACTACATTCGTACAAATAAGATATAATTCAATGTTTATCGTCTCAGTGATTAAATCCTCTTCATAAAGGTGTAAGAACCTGATAATAAAAACGGTTGAAAAGGGGATTTGAGGTTATTGGAAAACAATTTAAGTAGATTTAGTTCCCTTGACAAGTTTGAACAGTGCAAATCAAAGACATTCGCAGAATAAAATGAGCCCATTTTATTCTATGGCCTTGCATCAGCTGCAAACAGACTACAATTGAAATGAATTATTAGTAGTAATAGCAACATAATATACTTTAAAAGGACAGAAATAAATGGAGATTTGAAATCCAGGATTAACAATAAGGTAGTAATTCAAGAAAACACAGGATTACTAGTTACATATCTTGGTCAAAATCTATGACTATTAATATCTGATAAGATAGAAAATTCTGGAGTTGTGGAGTGCGGGGAAAACAAACGAAAATTAGTGTAGAAGAAGGGATTGTTTAAGGCCTAATAGGTTACGTAATTACATGAAAAACTTGAAAATCGTAAAGTGATCAATATCCAGTAGGTAATTAACAAAGAGATGATGCAATCAAAAGAAAAGGGAAGACTGTATACATACATATTCAAAAAACGCAGTCACCAGGCCTCTGATGCAAACAAGACATCAAAAAGAGGTTTCTCAGTTTTTCAGGATAATCAATAAACAAAGAACATCATGTTTATTACAGTTTGAGGAAGCTCTCGCTACTAAAAATTTTGAGCCTGACCTATATACTCAGAAGAAGACTGTAATTAAATTTTCTTCACCTTCCACTTTTATTGATTTATTAGATTTATCACAGTGTAACAGTATTGTTTACTGGATTATATTTCGGACATAATTTATTGCCCATAGTCAATGAAGGTAACTACACAACTTTGAGGTATTCTTTAAATAGTTCTAATTTTCTCGTCTCATTGTGAGGTGGACAGTAAGGTTTTCCATATATCCGGAACAGGTGCTGAGTCATTCCTGTTGCATGTGTTAGGTGTTGATTCGATAAACAAAGATTCAATGGTTGTCAATCTCTCCCTCCACCCTGTTATGTTACTTTTAAGAATTTTCACCCTGTCCAATCTTATTATGTGGTTGTGTGTAATTGCATGCATAGCTATGACTGAGCTTTTTTCTAAATTCCTTAACCTTACTAGGATCTACCAATTTTCACCTAGCTAGGTTTTTGTGTTCCGATAGCCTAATTGATCCTGATCAACTACTTTGTCCTATGTATTTGACCTCGGAATCGTTGCAAACGACCAAGGGATCAGCAAACAATTCATAATCAAAATGCAATTAGTGGTAAAATTTTACCATTGAACAAGGTCGTATTTAGGTCAATGTATACCGATGTCAAGGTACTGCAAATGGAGAAAAAAAACATTAATTTAACATATTCAGGCGTGACATTTATATCAGTACCCAAAGTTTACTAGTAAAGATAATGGCAGTAAATTTAATTAGAAACTTCAACATTGTTTTCATTTCAACCAACAGGAAATACATTCGTGAAGGTTTGAAACAACAAATGATGGATAAACTAAAGAAAAAGAAAGAAGAATGGCTAATTAAGTCAGCAGGTAAATTTATCTACATAAAGATAATAATAAATTTATTTTAAAAAATAGAAGCTAGAGAAATCCAGGATGATTGTGAAAAATACTTTCATGATAAAAGTGTTGGTGATCAGCAGAAACGTGCATTTCTACTTACTTTTAGAGATATGAATAAAAAGGTAAGTACAGAGATTAGCTTTTTTTAAATTTATTTATTTGTATACCATTTCATTTTGCTATCAAAATGTTTGAGAGTATCTGTAGCACTGGCTGTTTCTGCGACAGAGATTTCAACAAAATTTTAACTCATCCTCTATAATGAGATTTTAAAATTGATGATAGAAATTGTGATTTTTCTCGCTTGTATTAATACAAATTTGTCCTGTCTGGTTGATAACTACTTTGATACCGCAGATAGATTCATAAATGATATCAAGCTGGTATTTATCAAGGACTGCCGTAAGTTGGAGAACCAAGGAAAATCTGGGAGCACTAAAGAAATTTTTTGTCTTAGTATGATACAGCCCAGGAGTGCACACCCGTGACCCCACTCCGCCCCTATCACGTTACGAGTTATCGTGTGCTGTGCACGTGACTTGAAGGTATTTGGTCAGATCCTTTGCAGGGTGGAGTCATTGGTGTACCCTTCTGAGGAGTCATATGCTAGAAGGAAAGAACTATCCAATGCTCACAGGCTTTTCTTGATTCTCCAACTGGTGTCAATTCGTGATGAATACGAGCTGGAAATCAATAAATCCCCAAAAGCCTCCAAATTAGGTACTTGGCTGGTAGGTTTTTCTAGGCTGATTAATTTCTATGCATTGCTGATTGGTCTAGATTCCGGAATTTCTCTTTGTATGCCCTAACTACCCGTTTAATTTGGATTACACATTTTGAATGTTATTTTTGGTACCTCTAGTTCTATTTGGATGTATAAATAGAAAAGTGTAATCTACAAAAGAAACTCACACTTATGTTCTGATTAAACGCAGATACGCAAATATGCAGAAGAAGAAAATGCAGATGGATTTGACTGGACACACACTTAGGAGATCATTTGGGGATATCATGCACCAGGCCAGGCCCTCGAAGGGAGTCTGAACGGGAAACGATGAGTTGGGCATCAGAGGGTGACATGGAGGAGATTGTGTTAGGAGATATTGAATGTTTGTGGGCAGCCATGGAGCGAGGTTAAAAAGGCTGCAGAGAAGAGAACAGAGTGAAATGGCGGCGTGCTACTGAAGCTCTATGTCCCACCAGGAACTCAAGAGACCAATAAAATAATAATAGTAATCTAGGATACTTAAGTTCTCTACGATCTCAGTTATCAGTCCACAAATAAAAGTTTCATCCGTAAGCATCTCGTCTTTAGTTCATCAACTTAATTACTAAACTAGAAATTCATAAAGAACTGTACCTTCGCAAGTCCAATGAAGCTGGAAATTTCCATCTTCCCTTAATTGTAACCAATTAACTTCTAGGACAGGCATTTCACAGTGTTATGCATGCAAAGCATTTTCTTCTTCAGAAGGTAAATTATTTAGTATATATGAAGATCAGAGTTTTGACTAAGCTGCAAACCTACCACCTATAAATTCAGATCCTAGTGAACACCTATAGTTTTCTTACTCAATGATTCCATACTAACATAGATGTCATTTTCTGATCAATCGACTGGTAGGCAATCCTTCAGTATACAAAAATGTGGATACTAGACTAAAGCTTAGTATAGGAAATTATTAGAACTTTAGTGGATTTATTTATAATATGTTGACAGCAATGTTTCATCTCCATAAGTTTTATAAGGAGATAAGCAAGCAGTCGGAAAATGTGACTGTTGAAAAGAAATCACTACTTATTAGGCTTCGTTTCAATGGAGGGTTATCTAACAAAGTATAATGGCAGAGGTTGCTGAGAGTCAGCACAAGAATTTTCTATGTTATTGACCTTTTCAGTTCCACTTATCAGCGTCGCTTGCATTAAGAACAAACTGATCAATTTTATAACTTATATCTGTGATCACTAATTCAGCTGCACATGTGGAAGAAGCTCTGTAGAACACACTACTAGGAAGCTCAAAAATGTATTGCTGAGCACTTACCTTTCATTTTGGTTGATTTATTAGATATATCACACAGTGAGTTCCGATTAGGACACAGTTTATTGCCCAAATTGATATCAAGATAACTCAACTTTGACAAACGGTATTTAGTTCTAATTCTCTTATCTTTGCTGTGATATAGGTAGGAAGATTTTCCAAATGTCTGGAACACATACTTAGTCATTCCTGTTAATATGTTTGGTAATTGGTTCGATTAACAAAGATCCGGTTATAAATCTTACGCTTCTTTCCGCTATGTCAGTTTTAGGAATTTTCACCCTGTCCCATCCTATTGTGTGGTTGCGTGTAATTACGTCCATAGTTAGGAAGTCAAATCATGTCACGCCTGGCCAATAGTACTTATGTATTAGATAAGAGCATTTGAAATTTTCCAACAAATTATACTAAATTATTTGGATGAGGTTCCTGTTCGTCTTCTACATATGACAGAGGCTATGAGATCTAAAGCGAATGATCTAACTTAATGAAAGTAAAAAATGTAGTACCTAAAGAAAATCAACAGAACTATTTATGTAATCCAATGAGCAGGTCTTAATGCTGTAAATGTGGAGAAGACAGCCAGACAGGTAGAAGTAAGAGTGAAGAAGCATAGACTATCTTAAGAAGATTCTAAAAAACAGATCGGTTATCGTGCTACACCTCAAAGAAATGGGACAAAAAATTGACTCTGATGGAATCAAGGTTCTACAAAAAGGTTTTGGGTCATACCAAGAAAGGTTGACAGTCGAGGCCGTACATATATGGGCGAATCCAAACAGTTTGAACAGACGAGATAGAGTACAGTTAGCCGCCTCTTGGAAATTACTAATTAGTAAGCATTTACCGTCAACACCAGCCTCAACTTCATTATTTTTTCAGCATCAACAACATAATCTGGATTGATTTGATTCATTACTGTAATTATCACCGCTCCATCGGTACTACCATTCATTTCCAGTCTATTCCAATAAATCAATAAAAATTCGTTAATACCATTCATCCGTGTATGCCAAGCGAACTGACACATAGCCACCTCTTACGCCTTACTGTATTTATAGAAATCACCGAAAAACTCTAATGTCACCTTTGACCTTTTTGTCTCGCATTTACAATTAAGGAGAATATGGACAATACCGCACATGCTAACCATACATCAAGAGACAGAAAATTCCATACTTAGTGATTATTAATCATATTTCTGAAAAAAAGTGACTATACAAACAGGATTGGATAAGGGAATTAAAACAGACGTCTTTGGTTTCAACGACGTATCTTTAAGATTTTAATTTTTGGTTATTTCCCTGAAGAAGCTGGGGGCAGAATTTCGTGTGGAAAGTTGAAATTATTTCATTTCAAAGATGCTGTGACTTACACGAATCTATGCTACGGTTAACGTCAACCTTTTAGTCAGTCCCCAATATTGGCGATACTCGTTGGTCAAATCATGATCATAGTTCGTCTAAATTAATAATTGCGATAGAAAAATTCCATGAAACCCTTATATCTATCTTTTCCAGAGAAATCCTAGCATGTGACTTTGAGCAATAAATTTTTTCTTCTCTTTCATATGCGAATTATGTTTTCTTAGACTTCAAACATTTGCTTACTTTACTCATTACAGATATACAACTTTCATTTCTCTATATTTTGACCAATATCTATTGTTGAAATGTCAAAGACTTTCAGGTCACCACGATTGGTTTTCTTTGGTATGTATAAGTGAAATTACGTATATTAGAATGACGCATAGGAAGACTAGACTAAAAACAGTATTTTCGCTTACACGTCTTATTCTAATTTAACAAGTGGGAATTTCGGAAATTTCCGGATTAAAATAATTACTCTAATCAGCTTCGCATAAGTAGAAATGAAGGATATCAATCGCCTTAATGCTAATACTATACGTTATTTGAAAGGAAAGGATCATTAAATGAAAATGATTATGAATACCAACTTGAAATCAATTAAATCCCCTTAAAACTCATAACCAAATTAGTGGTCAGTGATTACTAATGACTTATATCGAGATGAGTAATCCGAAGTTCCAATAAGAATTCATTACCGGTGGGGCGAAGTAAGTTGGACGTGAGGACAAGCACTCAACGATAGCATCATATGTCACGCTATATCGCAAATTGACGAAGGTAGGAAAATGTAGGCCACTGAATTCCAATTCAGTGGCTCAACAGTAACACACTCGCTATGAAACCTGTAAATACTGGCTTAAATCGCTAGTAACATTGCATAATGTGTGCTGCAGAGGATCCTCATACCATGACGAAACAAGCATCCAGTGAGCCCAGTTTTCCAATGGTTGTCAAACTGACTTCAGTCCCCTATGAATATCAACTGCTTGACAGTATTATTCTGAAATAAATACCTGACTGAAAGATAAATATTAATTTACTCATTTAATCGGACTGGACCACGTAAGATCCTATCACTGTTGCACATTGTAGTGACTGAGTATATGAACCTAAATAGAGCAGATGCAAGCAATAAATAAATCTGAAAACTAACATGATATGAAAAGAAAGCAAGTTATAGATAGTAAGCGTTTCTTCAACTGTTTATTACGAAGACAATTTGACAAGTTAGTCACCAGTAGGTAACCTATGTAACTGCCAAGTCCTTGATGCTTAGGACTAATCGAGATGGTGGAGAATATTTACAGCTGGGAAGGGTGATTTTGATAGTGTTGTGTTCTCTGACCTAGATAGTTCAGTTGCGAAGCTTTCATTGTCATTCTAGACAACATCAGCACAAGCTTCAGGTGAGGCGTAGGATTTTTTGCACAATTCATTTAGTAGATCGCCATTATGGCTATGTGTGTGATTAGTTGCTTCTGTCAAAATTTCGTCATTAGTGATATATTTATTTCGATAGGTTGTCCTGTTGACCTGAACTTTGACCCTCTTGTTGTTTCCTATTGATTGATATGTTGGGTGGATGTCAATAAATCTGTTGATTGCTAACTGATCTGGATGCCAAGCTTGTAAATATTCCCTGAAATTCTCTGTACTTCCCCCATCCAGGATTTTCACGTTTTTCCACGGTTGTCCGTACGCATTAATATGA